TTGCAAATTATTATGGTTTTTTTTTCCTGTGTGTCTTCCGGTATGCTTGAGTATGTAAGTGTTGGCCATGGAATAGTGTTCCCAGGGAGAGAGTGAAGAGGTATCCACCACACACTGCCTGGGGCCCATTGGCAGAGGCTAAACAAGTCCTTCCCATTGGGACACGCACACACAGCCTGCAGCTGCAAATGACCTACTGTGCACCTCAGACAAACACACGTTCTGTAATACACACACACATGGACAAACAGCCTTTTTGATGATATAATTTGTTAATTTCAAGAGAAAACACAAAGATGATTATTACACATATGCTAATGAATACATATATCAGTTGCATATGGAGTTATTCTTTCTTTTTCTATCAATCCTGTTTGTGCATATAGAGCATACGCCATTCTAATTAACGCAAGTTATGGATCTTTTACTTATCAGCATTTTTAGCTAGCTATGTTGCTGGATATAGATGTTTAAAAATAAATCAAATAACGTATATGGGTTTATAATAATACATTAAAATCGATCATTACATTCTGATTTGACAAATGTGTGATAAAATGGCCTTCAGGTGAAGAGGAGCACTGTTGCCAGATTTTTACTGGCATCATGGATTTGTACAGCACCCAGAGACAACAGGTTTTTAGATCCATATTTAAAATACCTCCGTGAAACACGTTTAAATTTAGAAACACATCTGTGTTGGGCAACTGCTGAGACAGTTTGTACCAAATATCCCATTCAAATTTCTCTGTGTTTATCGAGGTCTGTCTGCACTATTCAATTCCTGAAAGTAGCTACTGAAAGTAGCAGGATCATCAAAGAGAAAACACTGCTTCAAATGAAGGTGTTTCACTTTTCATATACAGCAATATGATCAAATGCAACGATGATCATTTACAAGAAAATAACAATAAGAATAAAAAGCACATGTGATGTTTTATCTCCTGTGAACTGATTCATCAATGTCTTATGAAACAACAGCCTGAGCCTTCCTGGCCTGGGGATGAACACATCTTCTTCATATCATTCTCAAACTAACAAATTCAGGCCGCTTGCCACGAGAAACTCAATGAGACTACAATCAATATATTGCTACAAGGTGTGCACACACAACACAGATAGGGAATGATGTACGATTACCTGGGGTACATAACAATCAGCTGCATTCTTATGCAGTGTGCACAATCACACTGACAGTTCATACACACGCATGCAAACCGGGAAAGACACTCAATATGCAAATGTTTTGATTTACTTATTTATTTTTTTAATTTCTTTACAACAGGGACATAATTCCATTGTTCCCATGGATGAAAGGGGGTACAAGACAGATAAACAGGTCTCTGAATATCCAGGCCGGACGTCAGCTGATGAAATTTCCCATACAGCTGCAGCCGTGCTGTTAGGACAGGGAATACCACCACAAAATAATGTTTTCTCTCCCTCTGATCAATTTTTAATTTGGCCCGTGCAGCCGAGCCCTTGGCGGCCTGGCCCCAGTAATTATGGTGGGTTATTGACAGCTGCCTTCCCGCGGGAGGCTATTTAAAAGAGGTTTAACCCCAGAGCAAGTCCAGGCCCCACACCCGCCTTTGAAGGTGTCAAGTGCATTGATCTGAGCTGCAGGATGAGCTGGGACCTTCCCACCTGGAGGTGTGTGTGTGTATGTCTGCAAGTGTGTTGCTTGCAGGGCTGCTATTACAAGGCTATGGCCGGGCAGAGCAATTGCTCACCCCTACACAAACACACACACACACAAACACGTACACACACAAACTGTCCTCTGGCAAAAGCTGGCTCGGGTTGGTAGAATGGTACCCGTCTGTGCCGCCTGATGCCTTGAGATTCACTGAGCACAAACAAAGTCAACTCCGGACGACACGTACACATTACAGCACGGACACAAATGTGTTGACTCGTAGCTCAGGGAAAGTTAGATTAGGTGGAGAGAAAGAATGACGACTGAGTGTGAGAACAGAGAGACAGTTTTTCACAGCTATGACACAACACAGACAAATGAGTGTGCTGCTGATGCTGAAGAAGACATCATCCAGACAAAAAAAAAAAAAGGGTGAGGGGGAAAGCAAGCGTGGGGGGGGGGATAGAAATTAGTGGAGGATTTTTGTGTTTGAGTTGATCTGCCTCACTGCCCCCTTTCAGCCTTTCTATTGAAATTCTGGGCAGATAGGAACCCCAAGGCTTTTGACATACTTCTGAAAACACCACACCCCCTTTCTTTCCAGTGAGTCTCCATCGCCTCGTCTGACTCAGTATCAAGAGAGTCTGGAGAGAGTTTGAGTGAGATTGAGAGGAGAGGTGTGACAGCGGCTATAGATCTGTTTTTCTATAAGGAACTCTCCAACTAAATTAAACTGTTTGTGAAGACTGTGCATCAAGTTTGTTGTGTGCAGGCCATTTTGTATGCACAGAATATATCCATACATACATACATACACACACACATATATATACATATTTACAGCTGTACATATTTATAGCCACCAACGTAGCTTTAATTAAAATGAAGAATATATTAAAACAAACTACTTGATTATTTAATAGTGCTGAAAACTTTACAATCTCAAAGGCCACCATTTGAACATCTATGATTGACCTGAACCTCTCTTGGACACTGCAAAAAGAATTAGATTTTAAACGCTGTCAATGCAAAACACTTTTAATAGGAGCTGCTCATAAGTAAAGGGGCAAGCCAACTCAAGAAATAGTTGAAGGAAAAAAGTTGTATTAGGTGAAATCAAGTTGTATAAATGCTATGTAGCCCAGATGGTTAAAGTCCTCTCCTCATTGTTTATTTACCTTACATCTGTGTGGACACATACCAACATTTGTTGAGAGTCCCGAACCAACATCCACTATAACTAATGATCCCATCTTTCAATATTCAATATTCCCTCCTTGCTCAATTATTCTAACTGTACCCTCACAGCCGACACTGCCCTCCCCCCCATCTCCCCTTCAGCCTCATGGCACGCACCCTCCACCTCCACCATCTCGGTCTCAGGATGCAGAGCATTGACAGGGCCAGAAGGTAATGATACAGCTGCCATGATGCAACAAGCAGACCCGTCGACTGTCAGGAATTGAAATCATGAAGGAATAAGCTGTCATTAAGAGGCTCTCTCCCAGTAGTGGAGCTGTCAGATGCCTGCCTTCTGCCTACTCTCCCTCTGTACTCCCATCTCTCCTCTGCCAGTCCCACCCTATTTGCAGTCACTCCCTCAACCTCTTCTCATTTCTCTCTTCCTGAATCAATCTCTTCTGTACTCCTCTCCTTCTTTCCTTTTCTGTTCTCTTCCAGCCAATCATAACCCTTCTCCCTGACGCCTATCGCAGCACCCCCGCTTCCTATCGCAGAATCATCTTTTTCCACCACTTTTCACCTGTACTCTGTTGCTGAAGCAGCCTCCTCTCACCTGTCATTTTTACTTCTAGGCTATGGGAATAGCAGCTCTTCCTTGTGCGCACACACATGCACATAAAGACAACATGCTAGAAGCCTGCAGAGAGAGCCGAAAGCAACCCCATAGCTCAGTGGTACCCTACAAACTATCAAATGTCACCGGCATGCCTTCTTTCCTGATGGAAGGCACTGATGTGATACACCTATCCGTGCCAATCTATGTGTACAAACTTTTCATTTGTGCGCAAAATATTTACCAGCAATTTAACATGTCATCTTTGCGTAGTTGCATGTCAAAGCACATACAGGTAATGGGGTGTAAAATGGCGTTTAAGAGACTGAACACCCTGAGACGCCTGAATTGAGCTGAACTGTTTGAGTATGCATGTGTGTTGTTGAAGAGCCTGATGTGCATGCACAAACTACATTCTTTCTCCAACAATCGCATGATCGGAAAAGGTGACCAGAGATGTACATGGCACAGAGGCAGTTGAACTATTCGGTCTGTGTGTTTGAAAACGTGCTTTTGCTTGTTTGTGGTCTTTAAACCACAAGCTCCTGAATGCTCTTTAAGTGACCCTTTAAGCTTAAGCTTTAAATTTCCTATCAGATTCCCATGATATCTGCATATCACATGATCTGCAGTGAGGCAGGAGATTATAACCACTTTTTGTAAAATGGAGTTAATTGTAAACATGATGAAATAAAACAGTGGATATATCAGAGTTGGACCCAATGTTGCACATCAAGCTCAGCAATCAGTTAGTCTGGTACTAGTAAGGTGCCTACTGACTGACAAAACCAACCAATGTCCAATAAATCAATTCAAATATTAACTTAGCACGTAGATTCAAAAGCAAATTACAAAGACGCTCTTGCTTTACCACCATTCAGATCATAATTAGGGTAAAAAGAAACTTTCTCACAGTCGTCTAAACCCAGCCCACTTTCCCTGGTGTATGAACGTTACACTGTTGAGTGATTTTTAGAAATGTTTTATGACCTGATAATTGATGAAGGAGGTTCACAACAATAATGATTTCCAAAAATCAAATAGAAAACAGAAAAAAACTGTATCATTGTTTCCTCGGTTCATTTAAACATGTGCATGCGCAGAACTTGATAAAAAAAACACATGTGCCATGCTCACAAATAAGCAGAAAAGCTACTGCATGTCCACATTAAAACCGCTAACTTGTTAGGTTATAGAATCCAGAGAAAAAATACATTATTTTTGGATAGGATGGCAGCTCGTGTGTACAAGCACTTGGAAAGACAGTGAGATAAGTTCCCGGTGTAACATCATAAAACCACATACATGTCTGTAACAGATGCAGACAGCATGAATTGACTAAATGTGTGTGGCTGTCTTTGCAGTGTGCAGACAGACTTCGAGGCTGTTGTACGCCCGATGATTTGTCATGGTGCAAGAACACGATTTCTTGTTTACAGTGATGAATGGGTAACACTCACTACACACACCGTGTTCTCTATATCTAAGCTGTCACTTTTCCTCAGTGCAGCACAACCCTGCCTTTTCCAAACGTAGTGACAGATGAGGTAGCTGTACTCTACAGTTTTAGTGCACCTGAAAGGTTCCCTGTGAAAAACAAACACACAACCAACTTTAAGCTCTCGCGCTGTGTTTTGTATACAGCAGGACATTATCTTAAACAGCTTGGAAAGTTTTCAGGACATTCAAATAGACGGTATCAAGGAATAAGGGAAATGGAGAGAAGGATTTCCCAAAGGTCAATTTGAACCGCAAGCTGATGAAATTTCACAGGTAGTTGTAGCCAGGCCGACAAATGAGCGCAGAGATGGGGTTGGAAATAATAACACGGGCAAAACGGCCGTTTCTTTGTAGACAGAGAAGCGAATCCCTTTGTCAGTGATCACACTGCAGGGGAAGAGAAAAACCCATCATATTTCATCCTATATTATCACCCCCTCTGTTTCAGTTCAGTCACCCATGAACAGAGATGACAACACTGGAGTCGTGTATCTTAAGACCACATCAGTGTTTTCTTGTATGATAATGATCACATTGATAAATATGCTTCATTTCACTAACACGACAATATAAGCTTCAGTTCGAGGTTGACGACTGAATAGTTGAAGTGTCATTTGAGAATATGAGGTTGAGTTTGCACCTGTAAATGAACATCTAGCTCTTATTTTTTTGCCCCCGGGATAATGCGACGCTGTAGAGTGTTGAAATTGCTCATCATCACATACTTCCTCTTTTGACCCCGAGGCAAACCTTTCTTTTCACTCTGCACTCGTGTAAATTGCACAATCTGTGATTAAAGACCACAGTTCATCAGGACTCTAAGTTAATAAAACAGAGGGCAACAAAGATTATTCCCAATCACAAAAAGTCACGCATATAAAGAAATGAAATGTAGTGAAACTTTGCTTCTCACTGTGCCACAACTTCAACAACCTTAGAAACCCAAAGACCCCACCCACACCGGCCAAATATGGACAATAAATGATTTTTGACCAGGAGATGAGTTCAATGTTCAACAAGATTATAATAGAGCCTACCTCCATGGCTCTGTTAATGAAGGGAATCTGTGTCCCTGAGTCCAGATCTTGATTGATGATTAGTCTGCGAGCCCACTGACCAGCCCTCACCACGCCACTGCCCTGGATAAGTACCAACAATTTGGATGGGTTGGTCAAAGCATCCGGGCTCACATAGATAAAACTGGTGGGCTCATCTTCAGTAGCGTCCACCTGAACATTAGGGAAAAAAAGCAGGTAACCAGGTGTCAGTAACATAAAATATATCTATGTTATCAGGCACTAGATATTAATTAACTAAATTATTTTTGCTTTAGAATCTTTTTTTAAGGTTAAGGTTAAGGAAAATATTCTTTTGTAATACGCAGCAACAGGCATTTTCTCTATTACTGAGCACAAAGTCTCTTCATACCAATAATCAGAAATCAGTCTTCATACAATCAGAATACTAAAAAAGTGTCACAGAGGCTTACTGCGTGCTTATGTGTGTGTGTACACGGGATCCATCCACAACCTATGCTTTCTGCATCCCTCCCAAGTATGCTTGGAAGAATTTCTAAGGAGACACTGTCCATAAAAGCCATGGGTGGCAGCTGCAAGAACTTAATCCAAACAGACAAAGAGGGCCAAGTGGGGGAGAAAATCTTACCCTTTATTCTCCTTTGCGCCCTCATTCCCGCTCCCTATACTTGGCTGTGGTTAATCTTCTTAAAATCTGCGGTCACAAGTTCAATGCCACGCAGGTGGACAGACCCACCACTAACACACTAAAATACACACACACACACTGCATAAACGTGTAGGCGGGTGGGCAGCAGAAAAGCATAAGAGAGCAATTTTCCGGAGGAATAATGAGATAAATAGGCCAAGCAGATAAACCAGTAAAAGTGTATGGGGGCTAATGAAAGGCGCTGACTCTGGCTAGGTGATTTATGGACACCGTTAGTGCTCGAGCTAACTCTAGCATGCTTCTAAGCATCAACGCGGCCCAACTTTGCCATAAAACTGCTCTGAAAATTGATCATTACTTTTATAAACAGAAAAGGAGGAGGAATGAAGAGGTAAAAGAGAGCAACAAAAGAGACAAGCATGCTTCGAACCACAAATAAAAAGGGATGAAGGCTGCGCACTGAGCCTGGATGAGCCAGGCAAAGAATAATTCCACAAAGGCAGAGTAGAAAGTCCCCCTCAGAGCAACTGAATGCAAAACAGATTAAGCATCAGCATGCTGCACCTCTTTGAAATGACACGTCACAATACAGTTAATTTGTTGAGGAGACACTTTTGCACAAAGGATGTGTGCAGTGGAAAAGAGGGGCAAAGACAGGGAGTAAGAGAGAAACTGAGGGAGAAAGAAATGGGAAGACAACGCGTAATACGAGAATTGGGAGAACTGACTTCTCACAATCCCCCTTTTTTATTTCTAAACAGTACACTCAATATCATAATCACACTGCAAAGCCTTAGCGTTTACGTCACTTTTCATAGTTATTCTGCAGTTTAATCCTCAAGGGCATAAATCAAAGAGGATTTTTTTCTTCCCACTATGGGTACTTACTGGCAGCATTGCTTTAGTCAGGTTGCACTTTTTCTCCAACAGCTCATAAACATACTGAGTGATGATCTGGAGGGAAAATCGGGGAGAGAAAAAAAAGCACACATATTGTCAGACATTACACTGATAATACTGTCTAATGCAATTAATATTTTTCACTGCTGTTGATGTAAATCCATCCAACAAAGCCAAACAAATAAATTGTGTACATGTGTGAATAAGTAACAGCATCTGTTACTGTCATGCTCACAAACAGAATAAAAGAGAACTGCTCGAAAACACTCATTTGCCCTCTAGTATTGGTGTGTATGTGTGTGTACATGTGAACAACTTAAAAGAGTCGGGATCATACTGTGTGTGGTATGTGTGTGAATATCTCAGTACAGTGAGAGTGTTAAGGTTGTAAGTGCCAGGAGAGGAAATCTCCTGTACAAGCGAAGGGCTGATGTAAGTTATGTTTATCCCCGCAGCCACAGCACTAAAGAACCTTGTATACCAAGTCATTCCAACCCCGGGCCAAGCCTTTCATGGTTCAGTGACATTAACGTTTTGTTTTTTCTTCTCCCACGTTCGTTGTTTTTCATCTTTCCCTCTTTTCTTCTCAATAGATCCATCTCAGTAATGGACAGGCAGAAGCAGTTAGTGGAACAGGTTTGGATTCTTGTTCAGGAGTGAGAGACAAAAACCATGTGAACTTAAGAGTGAGAACAAATAACGGTTCACACAACAGACAGCAAAACCAAAGTATATCTGTTGATTCTGCCGTGATGTGTCCTAAACACCATGAATAAATCCTATGCCCTGCTCTGTCACAACAGCACTGTGATGGGCGGATGCGGAATGAGGGAAGTTGAGGAACATGCCGCCATGCTGTAACGTAAAGTTTCTCTTCTTAGTCTCTTATTAGCTTTTGAAGCATTGGTTTTTGAAACAGCGGCCAGCAGAAAAGTGAATTGTAGACCCATTCTCAAAGAATTTGGTAATGAGAACAAAGACAGTTATCGATAATGAACAGGTCACATCGAATACATGTAAAACTCTAAAATCTGATTTTCACATTCACTTTAGATCCTTTTAAAGTCAATCAAAAGTGCATTTGTAATGGTTTTTAAAGAAAAAGTTAATAAATTAATTGTTTGGGTTTTTTTTGCAATAAGCTCTAGTTGTTTGTTTATACTTTCACAATTCAACATTTTTTTGTCTTTAACAGGATCCAGGAGTGCATCCCAAAACAACAATATCATGAAGTTACCCAAAGCTAACTCAATACCAGTTTGATTTACTGCTTAAAGACCAACGTTAAAAAAAATACATCAGATATTACCCGAATAATAACCATTAAGTAGCCAGTCACAGCAAAATCGACAGGCCAGATGAAATGTTCGGAGCCACCCTTCCAAGAGTTAAAATAACAGCACCTCTCCCACAGTTTTTTTTATATATTTTTTTGCAGCTAATTCACTAAAATGTCAGCTGGTTTGATGTAGACTAAAATGATTCTGGGCCTCAGTATGCTGGTGTTTAATGACATCAATAAGCTTCACAGGAAATTTAATTTACACTATGTTATTTGTTCTGTACCTCAGGTGGCTCAAGAACCAGCTGATATAGGATAATGGGAAAGCTTGATAGGGAAAAAAGAAAGACAAAAAAATGCAAGTTTCACGGATACATTTCCTCTGATAAAATACAGTCTGCAGTTAAACGTAGAAAGCTAATATGCAATCTTGTATTTAAAGTTTTACATAAGTCATATAGTGTATATACATAATCACATAACCAGCCTTGTACATGATATGCTCAGTAACAACAGGACAGACTCGAGCCACACAGACGAAGACACACAGGCATCCTCCTCCTGTGTCGGCCTCTGAGGACTATGTCTCAGCAGCTGATCAGCAATGTACAAAGGGGCCTCTGTCACCTAATTACCAATGTGTTATTAGTGCTTTAATGAAATGCCTGCAGGATGCATTGCCAAGTGCATTGTCAGTATTGAACAGCAGAAAAAGAATGGGAAAAGTATGGCAAATATCGTTACGACACACGAAGAGAAGAGAAGGAAGGAGAACTGTGGATTAAGTGATTCGGGCTATTCTATATACGTCGACATGAGCTTGAAACATGTATATGACACAAAGAAAGGTTGAAAACACTGCCTAAGATTACCTACAAGGAGTCTGAACAAAGATACTGCAGAGACACACATATGGTAAGGGCCGCAAAAGAGTTCATACATATATCCATAACCGTTGTAGTTCTCTGTTGTGAGAGACAAAAACAGCAAGGATGCAAATGTATACTCAAATGGAAAACTGACTTCCCCACCGTAACGGTGACCATGAATGAAACCAAAAAAATAAAAACCTGGGAAGCTGAGGTCACCGCTGTGTCTATGGTTTGTTTGTGTGCAGGAAACATTGTGGTGATGAACCAAGAAGAAGGGGATCAGTCCGGAAGGAAAGGACTTAGTTGGAAGCTCAGTCGCAGGAAACAAAGTAGACAAGAAGGGAGAGGCAGCTAAATAATCCCCGGGAGACAGAGTCCTGTGCCAGCTCCCACTGCAGTGAGCATGAGAGGAGTGACGGCAGAAGGACTGGGATGGGAGAAAAGTGCAGCCTGTTACCTTTGATGCTATACCTATAAGTGGGTGGCCTGCAAAATCAGTTTGGTGTCAAATTCTGGTCACTCTCAGAACTATCTTCTCCTAACTTAAATAATGGTCAGATCTTAATGAAGAACACTGTGGCTGCAACAAGATCTGTTTTCTACGAATTTGGCGGTTTGAATGTGTGTCTCTCCTGAATGCCTACGCGTTCTCCCACTGATTACAACAGCCATGCCTGATTTGGCTGACCACACCTGAGGCAACAAGGAGATGATCCTTCCCAGGCCCACACAAAACTAATGTGGGAATGAAGTCAGTCAAAAAGGAAGAGAGGGCTAGAGCAAGAAGAGGTGAAAACAGACGGGGATAAGGCAGTTAAAGGAGGAATGACAGAGAGAGTCAGTAATAAAACAATGAATACACATGACAAAGTTCTCATCCTCTGAATTGGACAATGACATTCAATCGGAATTATGTTTATCTAATTCTATCATATAAACACTTTCCTAACTTTTATTTGGGCCCATGATGTCACTGGTTTATATATACAAAATAGATCTGAGTGGAAGCCAAGTGCACAAATACAATAAATGCAGCCACTCGTGCCGTACACACACACAGAGGAAGTGAAAGTACAGGTACACACTCCTCTTGTCTCTCTCGTCCAGAGCCCTCTCCAAAAGCCACTTAGCCATAGACACCGGAGAGAGCAAGGAGAGGCATCAAAGCTGTTTATATAATGAAACTGAAAGAGCTGCTCTGTGCCATATCACTGACTGCACCCAGGAAAGCATTGCTGCTTCTCTGGGGAATAGAGGAAAGGAAAAGAAAGAAGGAAAAAAAAGAAAATCCCCCTGAACAATGCAGCACAACAAGAGCAGCAACAACAGCAAAGCACACTCAGAAAGAAAGAGACTCAAAAAATGAGAGGGCGCACGAGGCAATAGAAAGGTTGTTTATTTTAAGTCAGCCTTGTGTAGCAACAGAAAATGTATTAAAATAGGTCCTATTGTTGTGATTTGTGATCTGTCAGTCCGCGAGGGAAACAAAGGGAGAAACAGAGAGACTGTCGTAATTCCCTTGAGGTCTCTGTCATTCTTCTTTCAGAGGAGAGAAAACTCTCCTGGGGAAAAGAAAGTTCTCAGATACAGACTGACTGACAGACTGTTTACATCTCCCACAGATATCCCTCCATCCCACTCCCCCTCTCCTTCCCCTGCTTTACTCATCCTAATGGCATCATAATGACCTCCTCAGGTGTTAACTGAGAAACTGGCGGAGGGCTAATTGAAAGTAAAGTCTTGTATGCCACCTTGGGTGTCAGCAGTAGCGACAGATGTCTGTGCTGTAACTACCAGCCCTCCTTGTCTTTTCCCTCGCACCCTCCTCCCTTCCCCGGTCCAATTCCCTTTTCTTTCATCAGCTGAAATCTAGCTGAATAACTCCCTTTAAGCATTTTCATCTGACTGTGTCAGCTTCCTTCCAGTGGAAGCCTTTTCGGAATGGAAACATGAAGGCAGTCGGGACTAAGGGCAGACAGCTGCTTAAGGATCCTGTTGCTTCCAAACAAAATGGACTACAACTTCAACTGTTATGGGTCCTCCTGGTGCTTCAAGTACAGTAACATGGCTGGCAAAACGGCATGGAAGACACATTTTACAACTGCTCTAATAGTTTATGTCAAATCTATCCTCTCCTGGTGGGTGCTGCATTGTCGTGAATCATTTCATTTACCTGAATGCATTTAGCAGATGCTTTTATCCAAAGTGACCTACAGGAGTCTTAACAATCTGAGGAAATGTCTTCCCATTCACCTAATCCCAGAGACAATATGGCCTGAGTTATTTTGGCAATCCATGTGAATACAGCTGTTTTAGGCCATTTGTGTTTCTGTACACATGGCATAAACAGCACAAGAATTGTTTGGGAGAATTTAATTATTCAAATTTGAAACACAAGTCTTTTATGTGAGAAGCCCATTAAAATCTAAATGACTCCAAGGTGGTCACACGTTTGTACATTATTAAAGCATTTCATTCTTCTGCACTTAGAACTTCAGCTATGCGGGCCTCCTGAGCCCCTCCCGAGCCAAATGTTCCCCATAAATTAACATACATGACAAGGCAGACATAAATAAGCATATCTATAATGATTCTATGGCTGTTTAAAGTCATTCCCCCATTAAGGATTGACATGTATACACAAAAATATTTAATTTCTGAAGTTTGAGGATTTTGAAAATATACTATTACCAAGAAACACTGAATATACTCTACTATGTCAACAGTAAGAATTGAGAGCATTCTGGCACAGCGTCTGTTAAGAAAAAATCAGATTAAATGAAGTTTCATCACTTCTTAAATAGTTGTTTGTGCAACAGACCCATCAGTGGTCTGCCAGTTGCATCAGCCTGGTGGCTTTGCTCCCTGCAACAGTTATCAGTGAACTGCACCATCTGATTGCAACAAAAAACACCAGCATTAGATGCATGCTGTATGCATTATGTACTTTTCTTCTTTAAGCAGAAGTGCTACTCTCTTCAGAGAGATCCAACAGCTACATTTCTTTACATAAGGATTACATTCATATGCAGCAGCATTACCCCCAAAACACCTCAAAACTTTGAAGAAATAATTGAAAACCACAGAGTCTGATTTGGACTTTCCGCCAAAGTCACTTTTTTCAACCAACTGAACTCGTTTGGGGCCCCAAAAAAAGAAAAAAAAAGAAAAAGCATACTTTCTTGACATCAGCTCTACCAAGGAATAGCAAAGGCTTTCAAGTTTGATCATACTAGTATAATATTTATGTGAATGAGAAGCTCAGGCATTGCTGTAAATAAATATTACAACTGCCCTCAAATTTGAATTTGAAAAGCAGACAAGAGGTTTTAGACTCCACTGCATACGCAGCAGTTACGCTTTAGCACGCCTTTAAACTTAGCCATTTCGTCACAAACGTGATAAAACATCAATAATGTAGAAATATGAAGACAAGAGGGGTAAAAAAAAAAAGATAAAAGAGACTGCAGAGAATGTAAGACATAGAGAGAGAGCTTTCTAATTCAGCCATCTGGCTAGCTTTACCTCATTATAATATTCTGACTGTGTCTGTGTGCTTGTGTGTTTACAAATTTGTGACTGCCTTCCATTCGACAGATGCAGACAGAGCAGAGAAGAATCCTCATTTATTAACAGCTTAATAGAGCTCCATCTGGGCCAGACCCTATGCTTGTCTTCTATCAGAGAAATTCATAATCAAATAACGGGAATTAGACTCCAACTGACACTTACACCGGCTTAGGTGACCCTGCTGCACCCAGCAGCAGTGCAAACACTTTGTCGTGTACTGCTGTAATGTCAGCACACTCTCTGGGCTCTTGTGGCACACGCTTGTATAAGTCCAGTGTTTCTGCAATATTTTACCATCTGCAAATGTCTACAAATTATTCATATTAATTAATAGATATCAAAAGTTCAGGATTTTCTCCTTTTTTTTTTAAATCAAAAACATTTCACAGCTTGTACTCAACCGCATTTTGTTCCGTGTCTTTCTTTTGCTTGGAGGCCATCACACCGACATCTTCCATCTCCCCTTTTCTATCTGTCCCTCCATTCAGACGGGGATGAAGTGCAAATTGGACATCTGGTGCTGTGATGCTGTGACAATACAGGCGCCACCCCCGAGCCCCCGCTCAAAAGTAAACAGACACACAAACACATGCACATACTGTCCTCTCAATGCAAAAACGGGCTCTGGGAAGACGGAGAGACGTTTGAAGAAAGAAAGGGAGAGTCAGCGAAAAGGTATGTATGCAGAGAGAGAAGAGAACAGGAGAATCTGCCTAAACGTTCGAGAGAAATGATGCCACTCTATTCACACTGCCAGGGGCAAACACATGCACCCATGTCCTTGTGCCATCTCCGCAGCTCGCAGGCTGAATGCAGCCATTCTTGGCCTGTCTCAGCTGGTAGGTTGATAGAGCATATTAGGGTGTGCTGGAGAGTGGTGTTAGCCCATAACACACTTGTCTGCACAGACACTTGCGCTGCATTTACCCTCTCTTATTATCTGAGTGACAATATGAAGGACTTGCGAAAAGTCTAAAAAGACAAACAACATGGAATTAAAAAAGAAGAAAACACCTGCAAATATCAGTGATACAACGGCAGACGTGAGAATGAAGATGTGTGTTGTTGAACTGTTACACAAAAAGCCTAAGTAAACAGCATAACCCTTGTCTTAAAGGGAAAAAGAAAGCTTTTGAACTTTTCAAGCTGTGTGAGGGCTACAATATTACTTTTTTTAAAATATGTGGTCTACATAAAACAGATATTGCTTTTTCAGATATTGCATCTTTCTTCTGAACTAGTTAATCACCTACCGCACAACTCCTACAGTATTTGTTCTGATTACAGAAACTTTCATCAACACCGATGGACACTGCCTCATTTTTTCTGCCTTTAAATACTTCTGTCACTTTCTTAAATTCCAGGATGAATGTAATTTGCATACATTCTAATTGATGATTGTTTGTTTCTTCCAAATGCTTGCCCCCCCCTTAGAGTTTATTGTGTAAATGCTTGTGTGTTCTTTCAGGGCCAGTGCTTCCTGCTTCAAATGTTTGCCTCTCATCCTTTTTAGATGTTGGCAGATAGTGCTTGAGCAGGCAAAAGAACAGAGGGGAAAAAAGCCTTCACAGAGGACTGGTTCTCAAAGGAGCCACTGTATACCTGCATTAGGAATAAGAAAAAATATCCAGGTAATCCCACAAACGGATAGACCACTTCACTTTGAACTTCAAAGAAAGCACGCAACAATTAAAAGCTACATAGTCGGGGGTGTAAAAAGAAAAAGGCTGATTACAAAAGAAACATGTGTTTTATCTGAATGCAGACTGAACGTGGTGGAACTGTGAGCAGAGAAATGAAAGTTAGGATGGAGTATGTCTGAGTTTGCTGTATGATTCAGATATTCAAACACAAAGACAGCATGGAAACTTTACTGAAATGAAAGATTGAATCTGTAGGCGTTTTTGAGAAGTGGACCCTTTGAAAAGAAATATTCAATACATAATAGAAAATTACATACATACGCTGTAGAAAAAGTCCTATAGACACTCAAATTCTATTCAAAGCTTTGAGGCTACAGTGAGTATCAGCTACTCCACGCTGTATCATCGTGACAAGTGGTCACGTTAAGTGAGTCTTTATTAGACCAGAAGGCCTCCCACACTGTATACATGCGTGATAAATTATTCTACGACGCCATAGCCTGACCCATCCACACAGGGAATAGGATGCCGCTTCAGAGAGGATCTGAAAAAAGCGTGTCCTCACGTCCCCATCTCAGATAACGATTTCAGGACCTTTATTTTAATTTGCTTTAAAACAGCATGTGGACAAAATCCCCAAACCCAGTGTGAGCTATGCCGTACCAAACGATACGAGTGTACTAAAGGGGTCTTGATGATCTACTAAAAAAGTTTACCAAAGGCACACTTTACCTCTCCAAGAGCCTCGTAGCGTTTCTGGTTCCATCGATGGAGATCCTCTCTGGCATTGAATACAAATGGTTCGCCTGATTTTACATGTCGGAGCTGACCATCTGCAGAAAACAGAAGAGTGATGCGTCTGAGTAACAGTTGCCTCCACATATGTTATTGCATTTTATAGCTTTAAAGCTAGGACTAAATGCTGGAAGAAGCATTTGTGATCTTTTTCATTTCTATAGCCTTTTATCTGTATTCTTTAATTCCTTCAAAAGATTCAGATGTACTACGGCCATGGATAGAGCAGGGTATCTTCCAGCCAGGTCTCCTGCAACCTTCTGGGTAATTTGGCAGGCTAACGTTTGCTACTTTACACTGGAAATATGCAGCAGTGCTGTCCCTGCCTTTCCCCCTCAGGCAAGCGTTGTAAAAGGTGGCACATATAGGCCACAATGACAACGGTTCATTGTAATTCCTTTGAGATTGCTGACTGGGCATGAACCAGTCTCCCTAACCAGCACATCTTACAGACACAAACACACACACACAGATCAGCAATGAAAACTAAAACAACCAGGTGTTGGTTGAGAGCAAGTGTCTCTATGCTTAAAAATGTGTGCATCTGTGAGTTCTTACTCGCGAGGCACAACACAAAGGTCCACCGAGCAACATTTAAGTTATTTATTACAATTTAGGGAAATGAGAGGAATCTTTACATTCATGCAGGATTCACCTCATTTGAAACAGTTATAAAACAGAAAAATGTTCTTCAGAAATGGAACTACTTTTTAAAACAATTACCCTCATGTGGTTGCAGAACCACTACCTTTGCAATGAGCCCATCGATCCTGCATTTGACACTGCAGCACAATAAAACAGTAAACAGTGTTAAATTTAATTTTGACCTTTATGACTGAAAAATTTGTAAGAACAAAGCCTTGGAAAAAAAAAACCTCCACATACTTAACCCAAACAGCCAGGGGGCTCTCATACTTTCTCAATTACTGCACAATGTGAGGAAAACCCATCTGAGATATAAATAATCATCTCCGCAACATAGAAGTATGCATGAGTGTTTCTTTTTCTCTTCCTTTCTCTCTAAATTGCCACCAGTGCACACTTCTATCAATATGATGAATCTTATATTATACGCTCACTGTGTATTAGAGCATTTGCTATCATGGTTAGTTGTTCACAGAAACGTTATCACGAAACCCTCCTTGGTATCGTGTTCCATTTAAAACACATTTGTGCCTGAGAGGTAAATCAGGAGACAAGTGACAACTTCGTATAAATGCAGTGTACACTCACAGATACATTGTGGGATATGAATTATGCATTTATGGAGGGGTTAGTACCTGCACACCACAGCCTGTGAGGGAAAGAGGAGCACTGTAATGAAATCTGAACGTTGATGAGGAGTGTGTGTACGTGTGTGCCCATGCATTGGTTTGTGTTTGAGCGTGAGGGAGGACAGGAAGAAAGCTGAAGGATTTGTGTGTCTTTGTGTACGGGTGGGGGGGGTTGATCAGCTTCACCGTGTCCCCCAACACATCCTCTCAAAGGAATAACATTTTTTCAACTTTTCTCCTTTTTTTCTGCCATAATTAGCATTCCATTCTCAATTTGGCCACTTAATTAGGTGTACATAACCTTGGATTTCCAGTAATGGAAAACCGGAGGGCTGGCAAGATGAAGCCATCATCTTCAGTGATTAAGATACCTACAAACTCTTGTACACAGCCTCTTCTGTGTTCACATCATTACATGGTCAAATTAACATTTTTGTTCCACCTGTCTCAAGCAAAGGGAGCAAGGGCGTAGGTATAGATGTGCCTTCAAGTCAGAGCGACTGATGGTCGACATACTCCAGACATCGCCGTAGGGCCACCATGGCTTTAATCGAAATGCTATCCTTGAAAAACAGACCTGAGAAAAACTGAGGAGACATACAGATGGGTAGGGGTGTGAGCACGTGTCTGTACGGGTGTGGAAAAGGGCCCTCAGTTAGGGATTTGAATGGGGAAAGGGACACAGCCAGAGAAATCTAAGGGAAGGGGAGAGAATACGGAAGAGGAAAGGCAGAAACATGGGGACTCGGAATGTATCCTGTATCCATGGTAGACTGAGCTGTGACTGGAGGCTGAGGCAGAGTGTTGGCGAGCGTTGCATAATGGTGAATACAGGCTAAGGATCGATGTCTCTGTTCCTAGGCTCAGTGAAGTTATGCAAATGCTCCGTCAGGCAGAGGGCAAGGCTGAGTAGGTTACTGACGGGCCATAGAGTACATAACATGTCCCCCACTCAGCCTGCCAGACACTGACAGAGAACAGAGGGGAGAAGAAAGACAGAGGGGGAGACTACAGGAGAATTCTAAAAGCCGAGTCCAACCGCGTCCAGAAAAGGGGGAACGTAAGCTAAGAGTTTCTCTCATTTTCCTTGTTCTATAAGTTTTACTAAACTAATCATGTTTATGACATGACTAGTAGTAGTGTATGCACACAATGCACTCCAAACACAACTATGCAAATAACTGCCAGTTGTATTTGAAATTGTTCATGAGCTATTTTCTCAAACTGGAACATTTTGAAATTTCAAAGCAGATCCATTATGAAACTTAAAGTGAACTTTTTCACAGCATAACCTCTGCAGTTACTTTTTTTTCTGGTACTGCATGTTCCCAGCTGAAGAACACCTGTGTTAATCAATCCATATGTTGTAACTTTAACTTGATGTTAAAAAAGAAAATCCACAACACAGCATCAACTTAAACTGCTAGAAAGGTACTAAGTTATTCTTGATCATGACAAAAAATATATATTTTCAGAATCCCTTTTAGCCTTAACTTGCTTAACTTAATTTTTAAATTGTCTTTGGGCAGCTTCCACACTGGCCATTGGAATGATCTTGTGACGAACGACCGCACTGGAACCAAATTCTGGCAGTATGAAATATTCATGGTTACATCTGCAGGGTAACTTGTGCTATGACCCATAACTATTAACGGACCAGCACTAATGCAGAGTAAATAATTCAACTGATCAACAGGAAACTGGCATCATTGTTGAAAAGGGCAGAACGGGGACACGGGTAAACATGCTAGGAGATGTCTGAAGTTGTCCTGTGGGATGTGTAACCCTAACCCTAACCCTAAACCTAACCCGGCTGTTGCCCATGCCAACAACCACGGGCAACTAGGATAAGTCAGCCTATACTCTGAAAATGTAGTACCCAAGATTATAAAAAATCCTAAAGGAAGTGATATCTACAACTGGTGAATGAATCAAGTGAGTGAGTGAAATTTGTCTTGATGCCACAATTATACTAAATTTGAGGAAATTCTGCTGCTTCTCACTTCCAGTCTACAGGTGTGTGTGGTTCTCAGGATTGATTGGCCGCCCATCCAGGGTGTGCTGTCTTTGGGTTTCATGAGCACTGATTTTGAGCGATGATGCTTTAATTATAAGATCAAGATTTGGATAAAACAGGACAACAGTCTGGAAATACTTTAGGTCATGGTGGGTTGTAACAAAGTCTAAAGGAGATGATTTTCAGTCTCAATGCTACCTGAAAAGCAATGAAAGGGAACATAACCCTTGTGGTTTGGGGCTCTAAATTAAACATGCAGCGCACTTACATTCATTGAAGGCATAACCAAACTCCTCCAGTGTTTTGGGGAATGTGAAAGGAGGTTCATCTTTCTTCATCAGTTCATCTAGGTCTATTCTTGAAAGCAAATCTGTGAACAAAGAAAAAAAATTAGTGTGAAATCGTTAACAAGACCAATAAATGATTTTCAGCTAAGAATGTAAATGTTTTAGGCTGCTTTTTCAATCACCAACACCGTCTGTGATAATATCAGAATAAATTAATAAATGAACTGAGATTTCCTCGAGTCATCCCAGCAACTTTAGATACCCTGTCATGAAGCATATGGCCCCACAAGTCTTCCATAACTGTTTAAAAATTAAAGCACCCCATCTTAAGTGGCATTATTAGGTTAAAAAAGGCAAGACTTTTATCATATGACAACTAAGTCAAAATTTCTATACAACCATAATCTGCACTTGAATGTAAAAACACAAAAATCATAAATAAAAAGAATGTGCTTTATGATTATATGTATGTTATGTTGTCCAAGAGTTTTGAGTTTACTTTCACACTAGTTCAGGGAAAATACAATTATTTTGAAAACAATGATTGAACAGCAAAGCATTTTTAAGATCTACTCTGTTTACATTTGAATGCAACTACCTCAGTGAGAACACTGATTTGCAATATAAGTACTCTTGATTCTAAAAATGTAGAGATGCTGCATAAAATGTATACAAAAACGAAATGCAAAGACGATTTTTAAAATCTCATAAACTGCTATTCACATGAGAACACTGAAACCACATCAAATGTTTGATGAATGACATTTTTCATTAAACCCGTTTCACCAAATCATGTTAAATTTGATGTCAGAAAATGAGAGGATGGGAAACTAAACTGCTGGAGGGATATTTAGCAACTAATTCAGTTTAAAGGTAAAAGGTCAGTAACATGCCTGGATACAAGAGAGCCGTGCAAGGGGCACAGCTCTAAATCAATACACTGAGCTCACGGTCTTCAGACCTTCAGGTGACACATAAACGGACGAGGCTGGGTTTTGAACTGATCCGCCAGACCTTTGACCAGCTGTCAAACATGTTTCATGAATTTCAAAATCATCAACAATGATCAGGGGCTCTTGAGCTACTCTAGTCCTACACCAGACACTAATGAGATGACGTTCTGGGGGCGTTTGTTGGTAGAAATTGTCCTGTCCTAATTTGTCTGAGATCTGCTGAAGCCATCATCTTAAAGTTCAGCTAGTGTTTTGTATCACAATGTAATATGTGTAATATGTCTTGGATATATTTTCTATACTCCATTTCTGGAGACAACAAAAAACATTGCATTCTGTCTTTGTTTTCATTTGACACATTTTGCAGATTTTTGTTTGTATAAAACCAGGGTGGCAGTGCAATCTATGCATTGGATAAGTCACCTTTGAGCGCTGTGGTTTTTTCTCTGTCCTCCTGGCCAGCGACCTGCGCCATAGTGATCCAAAATATGTACAGGGCTGGTGTGGTAGCACCCGGGTGAGAGCGCATGGGTCCTCCCCTGGCACGGATCACTGGGGGGGCTCCTGTCACATCAACAATTCAAAATCAAATGATTGGCAGCCCTGTAATGTTGTGTTACGTCATAGTTCAGCAGAAACGAAGTCGCCTGGTGTCCAAATATCTTAGTTTAATGTTGTCCGGAACGAGTCCCTTAATATGGCAAGTGCCATAGAGCAAAATGCCCCTTATCCTACAACTGTTTCAGGGCTGCTGTGCCCCACGGGATGTCAGGACTAGTAAGCACAGGACACACGTGCAACAGCTGAGCTCATCAGACACACTCTGCCAACTCGCTTTTCCTGCAGATAAACGATGGAGGCTGAATAATATCAGCACGCATGGCCACCCAGTGCGTCTTCGTTTCCATCTTTTTCAATGAACTGAACTCTGATATTAACACACCAACACATAAAAGTACCAAGTGCATTCGGTTGGTGCAGCCACTGCGGCCAGGTGCAGCAGGATAGGCTTGTTTTGTTTGGATTTATTATTAAGACATTCGGTTCAACAGGACGACACCGCGAGCCTCTGAGAGAGGCGGCAGTTCACAGCAGATGCATGCATACTTTTTTTGTGTGTTGACTCACGCACCATCAGTATTTTCCGACTTTCCTGCTTCGGCTGCTTCCTTGAAATTTGTGAAAACAGGAAGGACTCTGGGCAGAACAGCGTGGAGAGCGCGAGGCTTCCGGGTTACCGAGGCAACAGGCTGGAAGGGAAATTTAAAGGCACAGTAGCACAGACAAAGCGGTGGCGCTTTCAGAGTTCAACTGCGAATCCGCTCATAGGGGAACTAAACACATTGTATTAAAAAAAATAAGGTACTTAGATATGAATTACACTTCATTTTCACTGATTGCATTTCAAATTGGAAAGCTCGAAGAATCTGATTCACTTCCTGTAAAGCACAAACTATCACAAACTACAGATAATGACTCTGCTCTATGAAGGAAACTTAGATATATCAACTCCTGAAATTTGTTTAACTGTAATTTCACAAAAAAAAGAAAAAAGCTATACATTTTTAAAAAAGCTGTATGTCCAACCAATCAGTTTGGTGAAAAATAATATGACCATGTAATCAAAAAGTGAAAAAGAACCTAGGATGTGAAGGTCCAAATGCGAAAAGATTAGGTAACTTTGATATGCTTATGCATTTAGCAGACACTTTTATCCAAAGCAACTTAAAAAAGTAGAATATATATGTGTGTGTGTGATAGGCAGGGATACTCACCTCGACACTAAGCCCGCCCACCCTCCACTCTATATGCCGTTGCAAAGCTCAAAATACTAGCAGAATAAGAATATGCATCTATTAATGATGCCAACTGTATTTAATAATTGGTGTCGCCACTTCTTGTGTGATCCTTATGTTATCATGACGCATAGGTTCTAACATGATTGTGTGGCTTTTCTAATTGGAAATAAAGGTACATCATAGAATAAATTCATCTGAAAAGTAAGAGATTTTTATTTTATTGCGTAAAACATTTAATATGAAGAACAGTTTCACTAAGAAAATAACTAAATGCACATATGTACACATTATATATATATATATATAAACTTAGTAAATGTATAAATATAGATAAGGGTATTGTTCAATTGGTTAAATACTGGTTTAGGCTTCATTTTTTGGTTTCGAACACTTAGACAGAAACACTGGATTAATTATCATTAATATTTGTGGGATACACTGTAATCAAACCACATGTTAGGGTGGTTTCAAACCAGAGCAGTTGGTGTTTTCATTTAGAAACCAGCAGAAAGTATGCTGACTCGGGGGTTATTACCATCACATAAAACTACCTATGATCCCACAATCTCATCTTATGCTAGGCCAACAAATCCTCAGCTGATTTCTGCAGATGTGCTCCAAAAAGAAGAAGAAACATAAAAAATCTGATGCAGTTCAGAATACCACAGAGTCACAAACTCTCTCGCTCATGTTTCTTGTCCTCTCTCATGTTTTTTATGCACACACATATGCAAATTTGCAGCATGTATAAACAAAATTGTACCCACAAATGTGAAAAAGCACGCTCACACTCATATAAACACACTGCCGTCTTAAAAGCTGCGAGTGCATATTACAAGAAAACATTTACAACATGATAAAAATCCCAACTGCATGGACGGTTATTGGGCAGCGCTTTTATCGGATGGTTGTGTTTCCCCCTGGGTCTGCTTTGCTGATGTCTCATCAGTTCCAGGCTCCTGCGGTCCCGAGCAGCAGCAAAGGAAAAAGGCTTTCTGAAGTTCGTCTACCATTGCTTTCTCTCCATCTTCAAGCTCAGCACCTTCCTGCATGTCCCACCTGGATAGAACGGAGACACGCAACAATTACAGAGTAAGTATTTGTCAGGGTTAAATAAACCTGGAGACTGTGTTCTAACTTATTTCACTGTTTTGCTGGTGGATAAGTCAAGCTCTGATGCTTTCTATAAAAAAAACTGTTTGCTGGGAAAAATGCATTTAGATTTTCAAGAACTGCAAAATAACAGTTTTTACTGTTCTTACGGGGTTGTCTCACATAAGCCATTTGTTTCCTTTTCAATTTAATGTGCGAGTCTCCGATTAATTTTTTCACACTGTGTGGGTCACTGTTGTAGCACTTTCTGCAAGTGTCCCTCAGTCCATGTGTGAACGTGCACTGTAACATCTGCAGGTTTCTCAATGCAAGAAAAAAATGGACTTTGAAACTTTCAAAATAGGGGAGAGAAACTGAAATAACTTTATGATCTGTGCATTTTCTCCCCTCTGTCAGTTTGATTCTTGCCAAAGCAAAGCGATCCTTTAACAACTGCAGAACCCTCCCTGTTTGGGTGACTAAATTTTATGGCGGAAATTGCTCCACACATCGTGTTGGCTCTCCTTCTTCCTTAATCTCTTCTACTGTATGTCTCTGCATAACATTTTCTAATTCTTCAAGCTACAGATGGGATGGAGGGCTTCATATGAGGACATCAAGGGTAGTCACGTTGTAATTCACATTCAGTATTTCAATTGAATCCTTTGACGAGTAACTGTGGTCAATCAAATCCATATGGAGAGCTGAAGGCTGTCTTTGAGCTACAGCATTACACTCACTCCAAAGAAGAATTATATCTGTCTGACTGCAAATGATTGCATTTTCATTGCAATCTCTGCGTCTCCTTTTATCCTGCCCTACCTCCCCTCATTTTTTTCGCCGCAGACCTTCCTCAAACATGTGCTATATAGTTGTATGTGTGAGATGTACATGTGTGTAAGACAGCAAAGAAGGTAAAACGTAAAGTAAATTGCACGTGCGTTTAATGCATACTAAGATTTGTGCCCCTCTTCCTCACTTTGATGAAGTTCCAGCCTTTGTCACCATGTATTTCTGGATCAATCAGACATCCTCTTTCTCCATTTCCCAACCACTCTCAGTCTAGTTATTACCCTCTGTAAGGGGAGGATCTGTTTATGTAAATGCGTGTTCTCCCTCCATCTACAACTTTGGCCATGGGTTTCTGTTTTACTGGGTAATTTATGTGTCAGTCTCTCTTGTTACGTCCATCAAAATATGAGGACTGTCTCTCAAAGAACATAGAGAACAAAGAAGTGATAATGCAGGGAGACAAGTTATCCTTAAATTATTTTTGAGTGACACAGAATTAAAATCGGTTCTACTAAATAACCATTATAAGATACAAATACTTGAACAAACAAAACAATATAAATGTCACACCATATGCAAAACAAGAGCAGGAAGCGTCTCAGAAAGAACAGAAAGCCTGAAGAATGGCAGCCAATAAAGGAGGGAAGGGGAGAGGAAAGAAGGCAGGAAGGTACGCTAAAGGTTTTTCAATGTTTAATTTTCAAATAGGATTAAGCAGAATGACATTTAGCTGAAGGTTACAGGCTCAGCATTGTCTTAGCTGATATTGATATGCAGGAGGCGCCCTGCTTGTCACTGGGACAAACACTGTTGATGAATGAGAAGCCTTTCCCTTGGAAGGTGTTAAGTGCAAATTTGAAATGAGAGTGAGGTAGAAGTAGAGAAGGAGAAAAAAAAACACACGCACACAGATTGAATTACCACAATAGTTGCCATGTAAACTGTCACTAGATTATGTTTCCAAAAGTGTAAATTGCTCCGTAAAGTATAGGTTGCATATTTGGAGAGGCTGGTTGAACTTGCACTGAAATGGCGCTAAAAAGTACACAGGGTGCTTTGCTGTATCTAATTTCAACAACAATGTTCTCATAGAAATGCATAAGTAGGCTAAAGTTGACAGTAACTTCACTGTATCCTCATTTCGGCAAGTTTTCCCCTAGAATTTACATCTTAATAAGGGAAGTCTTACCCTTTAATTCTTATGGGCTCTGCTCATTTCTCATGCATTAATACTGGAGCTGCTGACTTAGCTCTTCCTTTGAATACAGAATAGGACACACATATTAAGACTCATATATTTACAAGATTGATGCCACAGGAGATTGTCTCAGAGTGAGATGAAAAGGCTGGCTCAGATCTATTTCAGTGTGAACATCGGTGTAAGCTGTCCTAATCATGGGATGATGCAGACACGAGACAGACAGCATCCATCCTGATTTTCAGCTGATAATCAGTAGTGATGTTTGGCAAATTAAAAGCATAAGCCTTGCTCAGAGATCATCAGACAATCAACCTCCTAACTAAATCTTCCTAAAAAAAACATGTTGCTGATGAAACCAATTCAAAGCTTTGTCTGGTGGAGACAAGAATAAATAAATAAATAAATTTAAAAAATATAGCACGAGGTTGTAAACTCTAAGTATAAAAAAGTTAGGGCTCTGGAGTGAGGGGCAGCAACTGAATAAACCAGGCAGAGGTACGCGTGGAAGAAAGTGAGCGAGCAGAGAAGACGGAGCACTTGGAAGATCATGGGAGACTGTGGCCAGTGGTTTCTCCTGCAGCTGTCAGCTGGCTGAGTGGTTTCTCTCAGAGTGCCGGGTGTTTGTGCTGCACAGGGTGCCCTGCC